TCTAATAATTTTCAAATTTTTGGTATACCATTTCAGATAATTAGTATAAATTCAACATTTCATCTTCCAGTTACATACAAAAAGTTATTAATTCATTAAATACTTTCAGTCAGAAATATCTTCGTTTGAAGGGCTGTTATGTCAGCACAAACAGAAACAAAACAAAAAAGAAGCAATGGAAATGCTTATTCAGTGTAATTCACTACATCATTTGAGCGAACTTCTCCTTCTTTCTTCACTAGCAAATGTTCCTGGTGATGTAATTTGTTTCTTCTATGTCAATCATGTATCTACTACAGATTAAAGTTAAAATTAATTCTACTCTCATGTATTTTGTTTTACGTCAGTGAATACCACTGTTGTTCCACAGCTGTTTTTGTGATTGTGGTTTGCCTTCTAAACAATCTGAACTATTCCTGGAATGTGCAGGGTAACCAGTGATAACAGTAATGTCAAGAGAAACTTTAACCACGGGAGATGTTTATGCTTTATTACTGCAGAGCTTGTTTAGAGATCTATTCTGTAAGAGCAAAGGATTGTACATTACCCTGTAATGAGTGAACCAGAAGCTCAGGAATGTTACTCTGTGGAAAACAGTGAAGGGCATATCCATACTGTGTTCTCCTCACTTTCCAAACACCTCTAGTGCTTGTGAGGCCACAGCCTGCAGGCAAAAGTGTTCAGAAAGTGAAAATACAGGAATATTCTGGAAGTAATCGATACAACACGGGTTGTGTTTTAGCTGGGTCATAATAAAGCAAAATTTAGTTTTCTCTTGGAATTAACAGCAGTTCTATATGTAGCTGAAAGAAATGTTAAAGACCAATATTCTGGTAGCAAAAGGCACTAAAGGCAGAACCATGTACCCCTGTTTTTTATATATACCACTGCATTAAAGGCAAATATTTCTTTGAAATTTGTATTGCACCAGAATTGTACTTATAGCACTTTATCATTCCAGGTCCTGCAGCTGGTGGTGGTGGATGTCTCATCCATGGAAGTATTCAAGGCCAAGTTGGATGGAGTTTTGAACAACCTGGTCTAGCGAAAGGTGACCAGGAGCTAGATGATGTTTAAGATTCCTTCCAATCCAGGTCATTCTATGATTACTCCATGGTGTAGGCCATGTTTTAGGATGTTACTGTTAAAACTTATCAGATATCTAAGAAAATTACCTTTAGAAAGTGCTGATTCCTGCTAACTCAGTATGAAAGTTGAAAGCTAACCATGAGATGCTTGTGGGGCAGAAGCTCAATGGGATTTTTGTCATTGGTCATCCAGGGAGACTGGATTCCCCTCAGGCCAAGTAAGTGTGACTAACTCTGGCTGCTCAGTTATGAAAAATGTTGGTTGCATTACATTGTCAGTACTTAATAAGAACACAGGTAAAACATACCAAGGTGAGCTTCTCTTTCCATTTACTTCACACAGGACGTAATAAAGATATCAAATGTAGTATACTATTAACACCAAGACAGTGGTTACAATGTTTGTTTTGTCTCGCAGTTCCCTAGCAACAGATTTTGATTGTATTTTAACCTTATTAGTAAGCTTACATTGTGCATTTTAACTGAAAATTTGGGGAAGACATTATATCTGCTAATAAGCAAAAAGTGAACAAAAGAACAATCTATCTGCTACAAAAACCTGCTGGCATATTTAGCATGTATTTCAGGATATTCTTTGGATTTCTGTTCAGATAAACAAGTTTTCTTATCCAGCATATGCTACATTAGAGCATCAGAATACTAGTACAAGGGTAATTTGGGCATACAAAAATCTGTTTCTCTCCTCAAATGAAGCACCATAAACTTCAAGATGTACCTCATTGTAACCAACAACCAGAATTAAACAGCTGCCCATCCATTAATGTACCACTGTTCCAAATAACCTATGATTTTGGAGAGGCAGAACAGTCATTAGCAGGAGTTTCTATAATATCCTAGAAGAAAGAAATGTGCAGTACTGAGTATTCAAAATGGAGCACTTGCTCCTGCCAGAAGTGCTCTTAATCTGCTGCCTCCATTTACTGTTCTCTAAGAGAAAGAGCTGCCTCCCTCCCTCCCCTCTGTTACCAGACAACTTCAAACCATCATCCTGTACTCAGCTCTGACATTTACTAGCAGACAGAACATTTGCTAAACCAAACTACAGATACCTTTTCTGAACTTAAAAATGAAATAAAATTTAAAATAAAATAAAATAAAATAAAATAAAATAAAATAAAATAAAATAAAATAAAATAAAATAAAATAAAATAAAATAAAATAAAATAAAATAAAATAAAATAAAATGTAGCAAAAGAACTGGTGAGCATTAAGTAAAATATATCTTTATAAATGACCAATCACACAATGAGGAGCAACTGGCATATTTTAAACCCCCTTGGAAGGGCAATTTCCACTAGTTTTACATTAAATCCCCAATCAGTATATATATAAACTTGGAAATAGACATTGTCAAGTTTTGACTAAGAAATACAAATAGATGGGAATCTTTCCTTTGCTTCAAGCCTCCATTTCAAGGAGGGAAGATTTCAATTTACTGCTATTTGATCAATATATATTCCTCTCTAAGTAATGATTAGTCCAGAAATAAAAACTCACTGACTGGGCTCACAAACTATATTTAAAACAAAGTTCTGAACATTCTGAAATACGAGAGTCACTCTGTAATTTCAGAGCAGTTGTAATATCTTATCCCACTCTAACAGGCTGCCAGAAATGCTCCTGGATAAGGCCCATCACCATTTGTTCTAAAGATATCAACGTTTTGGCTGGCTCTGGCAGGTAAGTGAGGACATTTGGGCTTTGATTCATATCTGATGTACTTCTTACATTTCAACTTCGAAGGCAGAAATTTTGGATATATATTTAGTCTGTATTTTTTTTTATTGAAAGGTTCCAAATATTATATGCAGTAAACTGCTGTGTCTTACCCAGAATAAAAAAGATGTATGTGAAAACTTTTCCCATAAATATCCACATTACTTTGCATGCAGGATTTGAGCATTTTTTCTCCAACATGTAATTTAGCTGAATGAATCATAATATGTTTTCCATGCAAAGAGAATGAAATTCCATATTTTGTGCTGCTGGTAGCCCTGGAATCAGCTTTTGCAGAGACTGAAGATAAGAAGTATATCCTTAAAGACTGATACAAAATACAACCAAAGCTCCCAAGAAATCATTTTTGACATTGCAGTATATTGCAAGTGATCGTCTTATTCTGCCTTTTTAATTGATGTAAATGGAATGAGGAAAAGAAATTTTTCAGAATATCCAAATAAAGGAGTTTGTTTGTTTGTCTTTTCTTTGTTTGTTTTTAAAGTACTACAATCTGCCTGAAGTATTAACACTTTCCTGAAAATACTTGAGGCTGTGGAACGGAATCCAGAACTGTTTTTAAGTATCGCTTTGAACTTACTTATGTCAATAGCTTTTTTCCCCCATTTTGTTAGGAATGACTGTCTGTGTTAACATTTGATCACAGTGTAAACTGGTGTTTCTTGGTAAGCACGCCTGTCAGAACGTAACCAAGCGGAGTGTGTACAGATCACATCACTCTTCATGGACAAACGCTTAGGTATGACTTTATTTATACCGCAGCTAAGGCTAGAAGACGTGGCTTAATTTTAAGGTGCTACAGGCATTAATAAAACAATTATCAGCGACCTTGATGAGACCCATATTTCAGACCGCGTGTCTCCTCTTAAAATGTGCTGGTTTATATCACACATCTCCGTACGCATGCACTGCATTTCCCAGAGTGGGACTGCAGGTGGACAAACAGCAGCTTCTGCCTGGGACCGTCCAAAACCGAAGGGACACAGCGAATATTACCCCTGCCCGCGCCGCACCGTAGGAGCCGTGACACCGACCCCACGTAGGCAGGGCCAGGGGCGGTGCTCGCTGACGTCCCGGGCAGCCCCGCCCGCTCCGCGCTCCCGCAGCTTCCAGAAGGGCCGGAGCCGGGGGGGCCGGGCCGGTGGCGCAGTCGGAATTGCCGCGGCCGCGGGGCCCGGGCGGGGCGGGGCGGGCGGTGATGCCCTTGTTTATTTTTACCCGGGCGGTTCATCCTCCTCGGCAGCCCCAGCGCG